TTTTTTTTTTTTTTTTGTCTATAACAAATATATTTGCGCCTGTCAAAATATTGTTGACAATCAGCAAATGTGATGACGATACAGGAAATAATGACATGACAGGCATGGGGAAGGAAATTACTCAACAGTACCTCTTCCCTAACTTGTTCCAATTACCTAGGTTGTCTAAGGAAGGAGATCCCTCATCCAACGCCTTTTTAGTCTCCTGCTCATGTTCTGAGGTATGTCAGCTGTGGCCATGTCTCCACAGAAGGATGGACAAAGAGCCTGCAGTCAGCTGATTAGCGGCCATTTTGTGGATACATGGCTTGAGTCACCTGTGCAAGCTGTTGGAGGATACTTGATTATTTTAATTTTTAAAAAGAGAGTGGGGTAGCTCAGTAGTATAGCGCTTACTACCAATGCTCAACGTCCCAGGTTCGAGTCCAGCTGATGGCAGATAAAATATTTTGTTTTATCGGCCGAGGATCGACAGGAAAATCCTCCTGGGACACATATAGCCTCAATAATGAGGGTTCCCTTAATCAAATGTATATTAATGGGAAAAACCAGGCGGTTGAGCGTGAACTCGGTCAAATCACCTCCTTGCATAACCGTTGACAAAGAAACAGTACTTCCTTGTTGTCCTAATCCCAAGACTCTTCATGAATTGAAGTGGTATGGGTATTATTTTTTTTTTTTAATTAAAAATAATTAAATATCTAATGAGCATTATTGTTTAATATTTTCTAAATTATACTTTATAAATTGTATGGAAAATTTACAATTCCAGTTTAAAGCTATTCAAGGTCAAACAGAAAATGGTACAAATATACAAAAAAAGTGAACCTATTAAAACTAACTATTAAACTATTAAACCTAATATTTACGATCAGCCGATAACTAAAACATCCAGATAACATAAAAATGTCAGTTTTCAAGTACATATGTTCCATGTGGCATCTAATAACAAAAAGGGATAGCTCCAAATTCTGAATTTTCGCAAAAAAAAAAAAAAAAAATGTTAAGAACTAAACATTTTTGCCATTGTTAGTCTAAATAAATGATGAGTCAGTCTTCATTATTTTTTGCGTGGTGTTTTCCTGTGCAAATTTAATTATTGTTAATTCAATATACTGAACTATTTTTCTTCGTCAAATGTGAAGGGATGTTGAAATTAAATATATATAAAATTATGTAGATTTTTTCTTCATATTTTCATCCACATATGTCATAATCTTAACATTAAGCAGATGTATCGTTATTATTATAGAAATTGACATTTTAGGCATGTTGAAGAGTAGTACCCAACAGTACCTCTTCCTGGGTCTTGGTTACACTTCCTTAATTCAGGAGAGGAGGTCTCTCATCCAGCTCCTCTTCAGTTGTCTCTTGATGGGTATGTCAGTTGTGACCATGTCGTCTGTGATGTTCTTGTATTTAAATATGAAATCTGGAGTAGAGAGTACGTATGTGTTGGTCGATAGTTGGTTGTAATAAGTCGGTATGTAAAGTTTTGTTGTTTACGTACCAGAGAGCTGCAGATAATTTTGTAAAGAAGACTTTTTTTATTTTAAATATAGTTAAATAATGAACAGATTTGATTTTTTATTAATATCTTAATTTGTTTAATAATAATTTTGTGGTATATATTTCCTATAATCTTTTATTTGAAGATGAGTAAATTAACATTTAAAATTCGTCTAGAGGAATTCTACAGAATTTCTATGCTCACGAATTGGAAATAAAAACGAGTACCACACGCATTATATTGCTAAAATTAAATATTAATAACTAAAAGTAATGTCAATTGAATTTTCTGTTTATGAGCATTATTTTTTTTTTCAAATTAATCTCACAAAATAATTAAAAAACATTATAAAAATTAAACCTGTGTTTTAATTAGTGTAAATATTTATTGTAATCTAGTAAGTATTAAACATATATATTTTTTTGTTACCTCTCTGCACAACCGTCGGCCTAATCAGTTACTTCCTTACCCTTCATGGATTAAATGATAGTCTTCCTTTTTAGAAAGATTTTTCGCATCGAATTACGAAAAAAACTGGATTTTTAAATAAGTTTTTGTACCATATTTCTGATAAATGCAACTAATAATTTAATTCAAGATGCAAATCCGGCTTCTTGTCGTTTCCCAACGAGCTGTCTGTCAGTTTCTCAACATCGCAGGGACAAAACCGGAGCCCAAAGGAGTATATTATGACAAAGATCTAAATGTCACCGGGTCGTTTGGAATTCAACGTGCTTCTGGTCTGATTTCTTAACTGCAAGTTACGTGTGAATAATGGGACCGATAAGTTTAAATTAATTACAGACCTCGTTTACAGGAAAAAAAAAATTTCTTTGACTAGGATAATTCGAACATAATAAATTTATATATATATATATATATATATATATATATATATATATATATTACAGATACATCTATTCGGATGTTACATATGTTCTTGAGCATAAAACGGTACGTAGAAGTATAAGACTCCCAGAGGTTTTGGCACCTGGGAAATGCTAGAAGTCTGAAAATTCCTTATATTGCTCCGCATTGTATTGCTAACAGTGAAGCGTTTGGATTTTACACATATTTATTTGGCAGTTTATTCTGCTCCTAGTACATTTAAAGTATACAAAATAAACAATTAATCATTAATTTGACAGTATACAGTTTATTTTTGTGATATTTTTTTAATTACTAAAAAAATCTAAGGTGTATGCCTTAGACCACACGATCGAAGTGAAAACATCAACAAGATAATTAATAATATAAAATATAAATTATAAATAATACAGAGAGGATGAAATGCTGAATAATTCAGTAGCTTACTATATACAGGTCCGATTTTTAGTTTTTGGAATATTTTAAAATATATCTTCAATAAATCTCGTTATTATTTGGCTTTCGTCACTATTTTTTTCCTTTTCGCCTCTCTAACACGGCGTCGTCTTAAGAACAATTTTTGAATAATAGCTCATTATAGAGAGGATGAAATGCTGAACAATTTACTCGCTTACAATAAGTCCGATTTTTAATTTTTGAAACATTTTGATCCATATGCAAAAACACTTCAATTAGTCGTCTTTACCCGAGCGTTACACATCGAAAATCTGATCTCTCAATCTAATTCACTCTCCACAAAAAAAAAAAAAAAAAAAAACCCTAAAGATATTTTCACTTGAAACAAATATTTATTGAGATTTACAGCCGTATTTAAACTTGATTAGAATACTACTTAGTTATGATGACGTAAAAATTATACGTCACGTACACATTTGTTTTATGAAACGCTAGGAGTGCATCATCCTTAATCAAACAAGAAAGAGAAGAAAGATTGTAAACTGTATAGGATTTAGTGGGACTTGATAACGATTTACTATACAGTGGGATATGGATTATTATGAATAATTATATTATATTAATTATACAAAAGGATTTGGATGTCTACGAAAAGAATATGATGAATTAGTAGGCCCCCAGAGTTCAACTTCATACGTCTTATATTTCTGATCAATGTTAAATTAGTCCAAAATGAAGAGCAATTTCATGTCATATGCATCTTCGTATTTTGACCTCTAAAGATATTCTTATTTAGGAAGGAGATGGTCCGGGGTTGCGGTCATAAAAAGGCTAAATAGTGGTAAAACTATTTTATTGAAAGCCTGCAACCGCGGACCATCTCCTTCCTTTATAATGCAACGGTCAACCATTAAACATTCAATATTCTTATTTAGTTCGTTTTTTGAAAGTACTACCGAAATTGGTTGCTGTGTTAAGGTGCGTTTACTCGTGAGATGTTTTTGTTTTCGATAGTAGCAGATACACTCTCGAGAGTTCTCGCCTAAAGTCTTGAACATTTCTTTTTCTTTTTTTTTTTCTATAAACACAAAACTAATAAGCTGCTGTTATTTGTCTTTTTCGATGTTGAAGACATCCTGTCTTAAACTTAAAATCAATCTCAGAACTGGCCGTGTGTAAACAGTCTAAAGTGGACTCGTGTGAGTTACCATGGAGAGTTGCTCTCCGAAAATGAGTTTCACTCTGCCACATAAAAAGGCCGCGAGTAACTCTCGAGAGTTTAGGCTGTAAGTTACTCTCACGTGTAAACGTAGCTTAAGTAAGTGTAAGGTACACATTACGTTAGAATTATTTCATTTTATGTACTACAAAATAAATAACATGAAACAATTTTTTTTTTTGTTCTTTTTTGGCTTTAAGACATGTAAAAGCAAGTCCTATTTTCTCAGTAAAATATTTTAATTGTCATAGTAAGATGAAATTACACTGGATATATATTAATTATTTATAGTTAGATGATCACTGAATGTAACTAAATATTAAATGTAACTTATTTGGAACTTGGATATTAGATATTAGATATTATGGAAACTGAGGTGAATTACAATTACAATTAAATGAGAATAAGAGGCGACTTTTATTATATGACTGCTTTTATGTCATTCATGAACTTTATCAAGTCACGGGCGTTATCTTTGTTCATCGACCGAAGGAAGTTAGTTCCATCGTCCGTAGTTTGCGATCCTAAACTAATTCTTCTTCGCTTCTCGAATCTTTTGCACTTGAAGGCAACGTGTCTTGGATCCTCCAAGCATTTGCTTGTTGGACAGTGACCGCTCTTAGCTATACCCATTAGATGTAGATATTTATTAGTTCTACCATGATTTACCCTGAGCCTGGTCAGCTTTACTAAGCTGGAGCGGTCGGGATGAGATTTAAGAATCGCAAACCATGGAACCAGTGGTATCTTCTGTTGAATATGAAACAATTATTAAGTGAACAACTATGAGACTCTATTTGCCTGAAATATGGAGTTTACTGTGTCCCTCCATTTCTCCTTTGGGGTTAATTAATGATGTTTTCATTAATTTATAATTATGATTTTACTCTTGAACGTATGGGATATGGATATCGAGAGACAGAGAAAGAGAGAGAGAGAGAGAGAGAGAGAGAGAGAAGAGTATAGTGTAGCTGGGAGTCGGTTTCCTTATGAACGAGAGTGACTTCCCTTGACCGAGTTGCGACACTGGTTGTGTAAGGCCCGCAGGTGGTAGCTCCTTCCGCCGCTCCCAGTTTGTACCAGCTCCGCCCCAGTTAGATCAGCTGTTTGTCGTTTGTCGTATCCTCCGCAATCTTTGCTACTAAGTCTGCTAGAGCAAACAGTCTGATGCCTGTCTGCGTTGTCTCAATGAAGTCATTACACAACTTCTTTGTCTGAATCGAGATCATCCGTTGAGGGGAAGAGCCATTTTTGTCTAAAAATTAGTATGAGTGTGAAAGTATTATTAAAATTTAGTTGTGTATTTAGTAATACTTTACAAAAGCTACTCCAACATGACTAGATCAGATTACGACACTGGTCGTGGGATGCCGATGATAGCCGAGTGGGTCTGTCGTCCGACAATACACTTACCTAATCCATTTCCAATACTTTTCCGACCTAGGATTATGACAACTCTCTGTACTATTTCGTATAATTAAGAACAAGAATATAGAATAGTAATGATTTTGAAGGTTGAGAATTGAATAAAAATAAGAAAGCTTAATCAAAGGGAGTAGTTTACAATTTTTTATTTATTTATTTATTTAATGAAATTTATACCCGTATAAACAATACAACTAGTAAAAATGCATACATTAGAAATCATGACATGAACAGACTTCTTGAAGAGATACTGCCCAGTGGTAGCACTCTATATTTAGTTCTAGGTGAGAAGATCATTAGGCCATCTTCTTTTCAGACGCCTAGGTTGATTATCAGGAAACGAGGAAGAAGCAAGGCTGGAAACACATGGATGGGACTGGAGTTTATCATGAAAGGATAGGTATCTGGCTCGGGCTAAATCAACGGAGTTTACAAATTAAAACAGTACCTAGAGTCAGTAGCTGATCAAAAATTCTATTTTTTTTTTTTTAAGTACGATTTTTATTTTTTAATAACGGTAATTACTCTGGAAGAAAAATAAAAATAAAAATCTGCCTATATAAAATTATGAATGGTACTTTGAAATTCCCATTCTTTGAAAAAAAAAGTATATTAAACAAATATTAAAATACTTTTTTTTTTTTAAATCCATAATTAGAGGGACAATACTACTTTTAAAGATTTGTTTAAATATGTTTTTCTTATCCGCGTGTTTACATTTAGTAACAGTATAAGCGCGATAATTTAAAAAGAGAACATACGGAGATTGCTTAAGTATTTATTTAGCTTATATCACACAGAGAAACAAATATGGACCAGTGAAAAAAATAAACATTTTTCCATTTTTGGGGGCTTCTGCTCGATAAATCCGTCAGTACCCAAAGATCAACATATTAAACCACCTCAAAACATTTTAAAAGGTTTATCACCATTACGCAAGACCATTCCATACTGAAACATCCAGCCAAAGGTCAATTTGACAATTCTCAAATGAGGAAATAATTTTGATTGGGTTTTGATTTTGAAAATTCGTACTGTAATTTAAATCGATTACAGTAAAATTTTATTGTAAAATATATTTAGCTGTGAATTAAATTATACCAACATACCAAATAGGACATGTACTTATGTTGTAATTAATAAATGTTTTTATTATTTACAGGTAAGAAACTTCACATTCTTAAAGGGTTACCAGACTACTATTCGATCACACAAGGTACATAAATTAGATTTATTAAAACTATGGGTAGTTTAAGAATTGATACCACGTAATTAGACAAAAAATCACATCTAAGGAAAGACCGATATGAAAAATATAACGCCATTACATAATGTGTAATCGACTGGCGGAGAAAAACTAAAAAATGTTATTGCCATGTTAGATTTGAGCATATTTTTTTCATGAAAATAAAAAAAAGTCGGACGAGATTTTTAAAAAGCATCATTTACCACGTACGAGTTTTCCATTTTTTAGGATCGAATCGAAAAGTCTATGATAATAAGAATTATTTTACTGATTCGAAATCCTACGTCTCCATAAAATAATGGAAAAACAATTGTTTTAATAAGATTAAAATATTACTTACCTGCTCAAAGGAATTTGGACATATGCCTCGAAGATTTATGGGTCAACAATAAAGACTCAGTTACAAAAACTACAATCTTTTCAATCTAAAATTTTAAGACTAATAACTGCAATCCCCTGGTACGTCAACAACAAAACTTACGTACTCTCTACTTTCGACTTCATCTTAAACTACTCGGACATCACAACGGACTTATCAACGACATGGCCACGTCTGACATACCTATCAGGAGGCGACTGAAAAGGAGCTGGATGAGAGATCTCCTTTCCTGAACAGACCAGGGAGGTGCTGATGGGTACTATTCTTCATCATGCCTAACATGCCAATTTTTACTTAACAACGAATCTGCTAATTGTCACTACCATGACAGGTGGGGATGGTGATTTGATGATAAAAATATATGTATATATATTAATTTTTTTTTCTATTATTACTTAAAATATTCCAATCAAGCCAAAGCAAAAGCACTTTATTCCATCACTAATAAAACTGTATTCTTCCATCTGGCAACGGTTGTCCAACACATAGTGACCCTTTACCAACCATTTTATACAAATTTAAGTGGACATCACAACAGTTTGATAAAAGACATGGTTACAGCAGACAGATCCCTCAATATGAGGAGAAGACAAAAAGGGCGCTGGATGAGAGATCTCCTTCCATAAGCAACCAAAGTAATCGAATCAAATCAGAGAAAAGATGCTACTGAGCACTGACCTTTCCCTTGCTTGAAATGCTATACTTTATCACAGCTATCTAATATATAATATATTTACTGAGCCTTATTGATATTATTGAAAATATTTGACGTTGGCTATTGAAAAAGTGTCCTTCTAAATTTAGAAAGGCCATTTAAATACGAAAGGTGTAACAACAAAGTTCAATAGAAAGGTGCAAAAAAATAAAGGTATAATTTTTTCCTTGATCATTTCCATATTTCTTAAGAACCGTTCTACTTCTGGTCAAACTAAGGAAATGACAAAACGGGGGAACGGGAGCAACGCGAGTTCGGGGCGGTAGTTTTGATGAAAGAGGAGGAAGGGATTTCACAGGTTGTGGTTCCATTGAGCGAACACAAGGGGAGGCCCGGAGATGCCACAGATCGGAATGGCCGCAGAACTAAGTCGGAGGATGAGCGGTGAATGGGCCGCAGAACAGGTTGCTGCGGGAGTTGATGCCCAGGTAGCTAACTGTGTCTTTGTAGTCGGCCAGAGTAGGAAGTGGCCGATGGCATTGTGCTCTCATTCCAGCAGTCTTCTCGTATACCAGAGGATTGGGTGTTTTAAATTCAGCCTCATTATCGATCTGGAGATATTTCTGTGAGGGCAATTTCAGAATTCGTAAGAGCCAGAACTCATGAGTTTTATGAATCAAACGATTCATTTCGAAGCATCGACTCTCACACCCTAACATTAAAAGACCTATTTCATACAGTTTCAAACATAGTGAAGTAACGACCACAAGCAACAGTAGACAGACGCTATTATTCAATAAAGTATCGATTATAATAATTTTCGATGAATCGAAAACATGAAATAAAAATAATTTAATTTATTATGTCCATCCGAAGGGAAAGCACTTTCATGTCTACTTAAGCACCGTAGTAGATTCTTTGGGAAATTATCGAATATTTAAACTTGGTCTAATAATCTGGTGGGTTCCACGTTTTTTTTAGAATGAAATTGTTTTTCTTATTACAACATTTTTAGTTTTTTAATTATTGGCAATTTATATTGAGCACATACGATCATGAACTTACACATGATTCGATATGAAACCAACAAAAATTGAGAATACTTGTTTTATATATTATTTTCAGCATTTTGAGCTCAGTCTGAGTGAACATTGTGAGCTATTTGGTCCAGTAGTTATAATACGTTTTAATCAGTCCATACCGTTGGCACAAAAAATCGTTTATACCTTCTAGCGGTCAATCCAAAAACATCACCACAAGCTTTTTCGTCGTCGATTAGGAAAAACAGTGCAATTTTTTAACATTCTCTTTTTACTTAATCGATTAGAACCAAAGTGGGAGAAGCCTATAAAACAGTAAAATCATACTTTTTAATTTACTTGACAAATTTAACACAATAATAAACTAAGTGAAAGAGGCGTTACTAATATATTTACTTTCTAATTTATTATTGTTTTAATGTGTTTTCTCAGTAAGGCATTGTGTTCCTACTCTTCTGTACTCCAAGGTATCGGCGAATCAATCGATTAATTAAGAAATGCAGTGAATTCCATTTATTAATCTTTCGATAAGTTTAGAAACGGTGGATTCCGGACGCCCTTTAATGAACTCGTGGACTCTTCAATGCGCATCGTGATAATGTAATGTTATGGGATGTAAATGAAATTCTTGGGCCAACCAACCACAAAAACAGTAGTATTTAAATTAATAAATACATAAAATTACTTTCTATTTACATTTCTTATTAATTCTTTAAAAATACCATCGTTGTAAAATTGGCATTTGATAAACGAAAAATGTATTGCAAGTGGATAACATTTCCTGCTTAATATTAGTCATCGAATCTATTCCATTATCCTCTTCAATACAATCATAACGCCCTTCCAGACGGAGCGGTGACCAGGTAAACACCCCCTACCACCAAGGACTGTATGGTAAGTGGAAGGACAGCCCGGACTAAAGGAGGTCATTAGGAAGGATGATTAGGGATTGGGGATCTCCTCGCCCAGGAAGGAGGAAGTGGTCACATGTGTTGTCGCTGGGCATCTGTTCCGGACATCCTCGGGTCTCTGGCTTCCGAATGAGCAAAAAACAGAGACCACTTCGCAGCGTTTGCCATGGAAACAAAATTCGAGATGAGAGAATGCGACTTTATTTTAAAATTCAAAAGCAAATAGAGCACTGAAAAATAATAATAATCTCCGTAAGGTATACCGCTGTTTCTTTGCAAAGTGTTGTCCAAGTCGAGGAATTGACTGGAAGGGATCCAGGAAATCTGGTTGACAATGGACCATTCGGATGATAATGAACATTGGAATATGTTAAACCCGAAACCTGTTCAGGACAAGGAGGCGGAGGATGGTCTGGTGGAAAGGCCAAGGTCTTCGGTAGCGAATGGCCACTTGTTAACACCGCTCTCGCTATCTGCACCATCTCCTTCGTGACTGCCTCGTCCGTCGGTCAAAAGGGAAACCTAGTCTCTTTTCAACAACCATTTTATTTTATAAACATTATTATAGCAGTTTTTATATGTATAATACATCTAATATCTTTGCTCATATCAGAGTGTAAAATCAGAAACGGAAGAAATCAGAAAGAAACAAATCGAATCGAATCAATCAATGAATTCAAATTATCTAGATCATTGAAAATACACGATATTCATATTGAACTAGGATAAGTTCCTAAACTTAGTGCTAATTCAACTATCGATCGAATCCTGCATAGATGAACTATCTATGCTGAGTTTAAGGAAGTCATCTCTCTTGGAAGGTTACAAAATACTGTTGAATTGTTGAGTTTCAAATCAGAAATAAATATAGTTATAGACTAAACTGAATATAAGTGTGTAGGGTAAATTTAGTTAACAACATAATGAGGCTACATCCACCTGATCCATCGTTCCAAAAACGTTGTTAATCTCAATTTTTTGTGGACCAGAACCATAATGTACATGAAACCTCCCTTAACCGACACTTCTCTATAGCGAATGATTTCAAACCCTATCAAATTTTATAATAGTAAAGTCTTACGAATACTGCTCTCTATCACGAACGGGGACAGTCTTGAAACATGTATTTTTATTAAAATGTTTCTCCATAAAAGACAGCATGAAACAATTGAAGCTCATATTCTGACTACATCAGTCCTATTTTTAATAGCCTAGTTTATTCTATGAATTCGGTTTGGTAGTAATAATTATGGTTTTAATCGTTTGTCATTAGTTCTCTTACAAATTAGAATAAATAACGTGCTTGATTGAGTTTGAAACACTGAGTGCTTATGTGACTTTTTTTACATGCTTTGTTTAATGTCCTTATGTGTTGACGGATCGGTCCCAAACAGCTAAGAACAACTTCAGTTTTACACACTCGTACGGCTTAACAGAAATTGGACATAGATATAAGAATATCAAATCCCTAAAATAATAGCAGTGAACTTATTTATTCTAATGTGTTTGTCAAAACAATTTTCTAATATTTTAAGTTACTTTTTTCTCGTATGAGATTATTCAAAACATATGCGTTCCCACCGTCTAATAGTGGTCGACGCCTGCAATCCTATTTGAAGATGGAACGTAATAGCATTGCTCTAAATCAACGTTCAAATTGATGTTATTGTATTTCCTTGTGTTGCATGTTTTATTGCTAAATTATTGCACATATCCGACCAATCCATCCATCGCTAAATTCCCAAATCCACATTCTTAAGCGACGGCCCAGATTGAGAATAATGTCATTGCAGAGCGGACAAGGAAGAACCCCCTAGCGCGGAAGTAGCCTAGATATCCTATTAGCCTGAGCCCATTTAAAAGCTCCGCTGGTGAAACAAGATTTTCTGCCTTCCGTGTAAGGCTTCCCGCACTTGTATGGATTTCGGGATAACTCTCTTCTCTAGATTGCTTCTAGTTGTTATATTGATGGCTACACCACTAAGCCTTCCAAAGGACGTTCACTGTGGGAAAAAAATATGTTCTGTTATTAAAAAAATGTTTATATTTATAATTTATAATTAAAAAATTAGCTAAATTAAGACGAGACAGAAATCCTTGCAGTAGCCGATGCCGATGAAGGAAGAAAAGCATATTTCATTTTGGTGGAGATTGTGTTGGCTATGGATCGTATAGTTGAGAATACTTTATTTTGCGGAGAAGTTTTGTCCTAAGTTTTAAGCCTTCTTCAGGACTAAGTAAAGAAATTGTAACAAGCAATATGAAAGAATAAGAAAAACAGTATCACAAACAATATGAGGATAAAGGTATAGAAATAGTATGAAAATCCATAACATGAACATGCAAACATTGTGCCATACATGGTGGTGACATTTGATAATATACATGGAAGATTATAATATAAGATATGGAAAGTATACTAGAATACCAAAAGTGATCAAAGACAAAAATACGTGAAACTATTATAATAAATTGAACACGTATGTTTAATTTAAAAAATAAAATAAAATAATAAGTAATGAACGATATATTATATTTCACATTTTATATGTATATATATATATATATTTTTAAATCAGGAACATATCTCAACCTATTCTGTAGCAGAGAGCAATGCAATTATCATGGAATTAAAGTTCATTGAACAAGAAACGTTCTAAAATTGGGGTATCTGTTAGTGTTGCCCCAAATCGGTCTTCCTCTTGCACTTTGCAAGACCAAGACCAAGGCCGCCTAATAGTTGCAAGACCAAGACCAGGACTGCTAAAAAAAAATCAATCTCTTCAATAAAAATTAAGGCAAAATAGCTATTAATACTTGACGATCTTAGATACTATATGTTAATAATGCTTATAACCACTATACCTTTACATTTTACTCCTCTAATTTTTCTTTCGGACTTATTTAGGTTTCCCCTATCTAAAAACTTACAGTAGTATCTCTATGGTAATAAGCTAATAAGTTACTGCAAGACCGTTGCGAGACTCTTGTGCAAGACCAAGACTGAGTTTGCAAGACCAAGACTCGTCTCGGTTTCGCATTTGGGCAACACTAGTATCTGTAGTCTAGTAGAAAGCTTATGAACAAATTCTCGAATAATCCGGAAACCAGGAAAAACAGAACATTACGTAAGCCGGTTGGCAGCACCCTTCAAATATTTTAAACACAAACAAGTCATGCATGTAGTTAATCAAAATATTTTTTTAAATTAATATGCTGCAGTTGGGAATTACTTATATAAAATTTACATTTCTTTTTCTATATCAACATTTATTTTACTATTAAGATGTGCTTTCGGCTCCTTTAATACATAATCTGTTGTAAATTGTAGTCTAAATAATAAAATATAATAGAAAATAAATTAAATAAAAATAAATTAGATAAAAATAACTATGTTTTAAAATATTATGAGCATTTCTGCGAAGTTAGATCATGAAATTTAAATAGACAATTGTTGGAGCTATTCCTCATTTCTGTTTGAAAATATTGATAACCTTTCGTTATTTCTAACGATAATCCATGCGTGAACGCTAAATATAGCAACATTTTTTATTGACCATCTTTCATATTTAGATTTCAATTACAAAGATTGTTAATAAAAACATTTTTTCAGGTCTCACTCTTTTTTTTTTTTTTTTTTTTTTTTTGTAGGACTTAATAATTAGTAATATTTCTTTAAAATGATCACATATATTTATATAAGTTAGCTTTTGTACTTTTCATTAAAATAAAATAAAAAATCCTTTCATTTTTTTTTTATAAAGTTTTAAATTATCTTAGCTCATGTTTAGAAAAAACTTACCAATTTTAATTATTTCACGAAATTAATTAACGATCCTCGTATGTTTTAGCCGTCGGGTTCGTCGGCAGAGAGCATTGATATGTGTAATTAAACATTCCTGGAATATTTTTAATTAATGAAAATTCAATCCCCTCGTTTGAAGGGAGAATTAACATCATTCATTATATCATGCCAAATAGTAATAATTAAACATCATTTGTTTAAATAATCCCTCATTTGCAAAACTGGCATTGATTTGCTATATACGCAATCACTTCTTTTATTAATTTTATTCTGAAATTTCATGAGTGGTGCAACCAAAAAAATAAAGTTCATCTGATAAAAAAAAAAAATTAATTAATAATAGATTTTTTTTTATGTCGTTTCTAAATCAATCCTTCTTATATATTAATATATATAATTAATTACATATATATTAATATCAATGAAATCACCAATCCTATTCTTCGCCTTGTCCAAGTGGTTGAATAGGTAATTGCTAATTTTGATTTCTCATAGAAAATATTTAAAGATAATACAAACAATTTTAAGTTTTCTTACCACTTTCTCCTGGTTGCCTAGAGATCTCCTGATGACAATTTAAACAATGATCAAAAATAAAATAAGACAGAATAAACGGTAACACATTTGCTAGATGCGTTCCATCGCAGTGCAGAATGTGATGTAAAATAAATAAATAAAATAAAAACGTTACTTTATACTTTAGTACTGACTGACAGAAAAAATAAAATAAAAAAAAGAAGAATAAAATATTTATATGCATACACATTTAAAGTCAGTTATTTCTAACAATGTATTTAATTTAAATTATTTTTTTATAAACCAGATATATGTTTATTTAATAATGTTTTAAAGAATTAGTTTAAAAAATATAAACCAATTTATTACATTTTTTTCTCACCTTCCAACGATTTTATTGAACAAAAACAATATGTATATTTAATCAATATATAAACATATATCTTTTTTTTTTCTTCATTTTTTCCTTGTATTTGATATTACACATATTACTACAGAAACATCCTACATTTTGTTTAGAAGAAATAAATCTGTTACACGCGATGGTGTCATTGAAGCCTTGTAAATTTATTAGGTCAACATCGAGTAAAACGCTTTGTAGAGCATTGAGATGTAGTGGTTAGTTACAATAATAATGGTTAATTAATTACAATAAATATAGCATTGAGTTGATCTTTAAAAAATATTTTATGGCAAGCTACGTAATCTTTATTACTAAAAAAAAACGAATTTTACCAAGGGAACAAAAAAAAAAATATATTAGAGAAATGTAAATATTGTGTTCATTTTTTCTTTTTTTAAATTGAAAAATCTCTGTAATTGTTAACAATATAATTTCACGCATTATATTTATTAGTTTTAATGAGTACTAGTAACTTACAAGACTTTTGTATTTTATAAATTGGATTTACAAGGTTTTAAAAGTAAACTATCGATATTAAAATTGTGGGATCATACACTTTTTTTACACGAATCTGTATGCCCCTACTGAAAAAATAAAAACTTAACTAAAGAACAGTCACTTGCAATCAATACAAAACTATATTTTAAATGAGCTAGAAATACATATGTTTCGGATAGATATTAATTTGGATAAATAAGCGTTTGTTAAGGCCGATATATATATATAAAATAGTAACACTAATAATCAGTGTTCTTCAT